TTCTTTCTTTTTCTTTCTTTCTTTCTTTCTTTCCTTATATTTATTTATTTACCTGTTTGTTTATTTATTTATTTTTGAGGCAGGGGAGCGAAGAGAGAGGGAAAGATCTCCCACCAACTAGAAGATCATGACCTGAGCCGTGATCAAGAGTCAGATGCTTAGCCAACTGAGCCGCCCTTACAGTGCTTTCCTTTTACTCCATTTTATTCTTTATTTCTTCCATCTCTAGATATCAGGAATTTGGGGGTTGGAGTTTTTTGGGGGGGTTGGGGGTAATGGTTTAAAGGAGTTCAAAGGCAGTTCAAACAAAGGTAATGAGATTATTAGAAGCCATATTCACACCTTATAGAAAACTGACTGGAACATGAAGGGACAATACCCAGAGAACCTATATATGAAGAACAGTGGTGCTATGATATAACCCCAGAAGCAGTAGCTGGATGTGTCATTGATCTGCTCTATACTAGAGAGGAGGTGAATTTACTGGCATAAATATCATGGAATGGCTGGAATATGTAGGTGGGGACATTTTTGGAATCATACATATAAGAAAATGTGTGTGTGTTGGGCAAACAAGGGGTGGACTAGGGCAAACACCTGCCAGTCTGCATTTTGTCTTCTCCTAGGACCACCCCTCTGTCCCCAATGCCATGTTAGGCAATCTGAGCTTCATCCATCTCTTGACCACAGTTGATTGGTCTAGAATTAAGCATCTAACTAAGCTGAGCCAATCAGAGTACTTCCTGAGGAATTTGCAAACTGTAACCAAGGAAAAGAAACCAGTGTCTTGTTGAGTGCCTAGACAATAAGATTTTTAAGCTTTGTGACTGTCTGAAGTGATGTTTTTCACCATGTAGACCAGAAAAGCATTGAAAGCTAGTCTGGAGATGAGGATGATAGGGGCAGGGGAGAACAGAGGAAAGAGACTGGCACAAAGTAACAAATGAGAGGTGGAGAGAGAAACTAATGGCTTTTGTGACTATTAGTTCCAGTTGTTCCTGAGGCATTCCTGTCTTTAGGTTTCAGTATCTGATTATAAATGTTTTTTGTTTTTTTGTTTTTGAACCAGGTCTTATTCTTCTTCGGTGAGCTCATCCACTTTTCTGATTTGACTACTACTCATTTTCTGATAACTCACAACATGTCTTGAGCCTGAACCCCAGACCTGCTTACCCAACTGTCTATGGGACATCTCAACTTAGGTGTCCAATTGGTACCTCAAATCTAGCATATCTAAAACAATTCATCATCCTCCATCTCCCCCCCCACACACACCACCCCAACCCCTGTTGAAACTCACCCCTTTTCGTGTGTTTTCTATATCAGTAAATAGCATCACAGTATCCCTAGTCACCAACCTGGGAGTTATCCCAGACTTTATTCTCCCTCTTACTCCTCATGTCCTGTAGGTCTAAGTCTCTAAGTCCTGCCAGTTGTAATTCCTAAATATCCTCATTGTTCTCTTTTTCTCTCCAATCTTCTTCCCCTACATCATTTCAGTCCTTTGTCATTACTCTTTGCCTTCACTGTCAAATGCCTTCAATCTCTCCTTCTACCCAGCAGCCCATATCATCCCTCTAATTTCTGGATATGATCACATTTACTCCTCTGCTCAAAAATTTTCAGTGGCTCCCCACTGTTTTCAGGATAAAATCCAAACTCCTGCAGCTGGGTCACAAATTCACTCACATGACAGATGTGCAATATAAGTCTCCTCTGTTTCCTAGAAGTAATTGATCTTGCTCACAATGCCCCCACCCTTGCTGGGTAACAGGGGCAAGGGAACTAAATCCATTCTGGTAAAGTCAGTAGGGTCTAAAAATTCATTTTAGACAGTCTCTAAGTAATTCAGTAAGTTTGGATGACTCAGTCTTTCAGATTATCTTACCCTTCCCTTACTGGTTTCCAAGATAGCATTTGGATTTATAGGGATCTCGTGTGAATTTCATGGCATTGAGGAAAGGGGCCTCTTAGCTATATGGTCCTTGGAATTATGTCAGTTGGTATTTGCTGAGATGTGGCTGGTCCAGTATAAATGAATTGGTGAATTACAACCCTGAGCGGTAGCTATCACTAAAACAACTTTACAGATGAAGAAGCTAAGGCAAAAAGGAGTTAAGTAACTTGCTCCAGGTCACGAAGTTAGTTAAGTGGCAGAACCAGGAATCAACACCACCCTTATTCTGGAAGGCACTTCGATCTATGTCTAGAATTCCAGAGATAAAGCTGGATTGGGGAGCATTGAGAGTCTTCGTGGTATAGTTTTAGGACTGTGCTCATCCATGGAGAATATGTAGAGCAGGATGGAAAAAGGGTCCAGTTCAGAACACTTAGAAATCACTGGTGTATGAGGTGGGTAGGAAGGCCTACCTGACAGCTCCTGCCCAAGTTGATCTACCTCTTAGGAGAGACTCTAGGATGGAGAGAGTCAGGAGCTTCTAGGATGGAGAGTCATGCCTGGTCCTATTCCCGCCATGGATGAGCGATCTCTCAGAGTACCGCATTTCTCTCTGTCCTAGGCTCTCCCACAGCGCAGCAAAGCACGAACCCCCGACCAATACTGGGTAGGAACTCAATAAATATGTCCAAAGAACTTGTATTGGCAGAGCTGCTCACATCTCCTGGGGCCAGGGAATGTAAAGCAGCCTACAAACCCTCTAAAGTGGGGGTGCAGAGTCCACCCCCAGATGGGAGTGGATGTGCAGAAGTCCAAGGGGCTTCCCAGATGAGGAGGTTCAATCTCCTCCCAGATGTGGGGGCCCAAGGCCTTCCTCCAGATGACCGCGGCAGAGGCAGATATGGAGGGGCAGTTTCCTCATGTATAAGGGTACAGAGGCTTTTCTCAGATGTTGGATGTACAGCTCTTCCGGGTGTTGAAGGTGCAAGAAATTCCCAAAAGTAGGTGGGCTTCATCCCCGCCCCCTTCCCCCGGAGAGATCGAGACCAAGTAGTCCCTTCAGTCCTTCTCCCGCCCCCTCCCCACCCGGGCACAAGGGTTGAGCCAGTCCCCACCCCAGCGCGCGACCAATCGCCCAGGAGCCTGGCG